TTTTACCAGAGGAAAAAACAATTCCATAGGACTTTTAACATCTAGCGGACTTTCGGGTGAGTCAAGACAGTTTTTTTTAATATTTTTTGCTTCTGTATTTTGGAATCACCTCCATGTTTACGTCACCTCACTTTCTGATTGGCTACACATCCCATTCAGCAGGTTGAGAGCTCGTTTTTTTCTTGGATGAACATCACACACGCTGTGATATCGGGCCAAAATATCAAACATGTTGAGTATCCCCGATTTGAGGTCGGAGCGGTTTCGACGTCCTTCCGAGCTGACCAGATCACTCTTAACTCTCCACCCACAACAGGAATATCTACTCAGATTATCTTTAGACTCATCACAATAATCTGGACTTCCTTAAGATTGTCGGAAGGGCAAAAATCRGCATGATTATATTTCCATGTGATGCAGGCCTTATGGGTGTCATACTGGTGGAAAGCCTTGTTGATGTCCCTTTTAAATGGTGCCACATYTGTAAGGAATGTGCATTTGCAGGACGAGCAGTTGAACTGAGTATGTGGGCTGTGCACATGAAAAAAAAGTCATGTCCTCTCTGCCAATGTCAATCAGCTTATTCTGTCACTGACATGTTTGGTGTTTGGTGGAAGAAACAAGATATATTGGCAGCTCATTTAACAAACAGGAGCCTCGGTAGCATGTGGAAGAACCATACACAGCCACAACAGCCTGGCACCTCCTCATCAAGCTGGTCACCAGCCTGGCCACACACACTGCTGCGGGATGGTATCCCAATCCTCAAGCAGCATTTGTCATCTGCTTGGTGGCACCTGAGGGTACCAGAAGCTCAACACAAGCATCAAAATAGGCTGTTTGGCAGAGAAGATTTGGCAAATTTAAACTCTGTAATTTCTCAACATATGATGATCTCAGTCTAAATCTCTGGCATGGAAGGCAACGAGTAATATGGATTTCTTAAATTYATACTTTGCCTTTAATTCTTTATGCTTTTATTTCAGTCACTGTCATTGAAACTACAGGTATAAGTGTGTYACATTCAGTATCTTAAAGCTTAGGTCTTCTTTATATGTATGTAGAAAACAAGCACATTCTTTGCTTACTGAAATGTACTGAAACTAAATGGTACAAAGAGGTATACACCCTGCTCCAAACACACACAGCATATCCCAAGAGAGATGTGTGATAGACAGCTAATTTGACACAYAGGCCCATGCACCACATTTAAGGACTTTTTCTAATCTTTTTTAATCACTCCCGTCATTTCAGTCTCTGTGGCCGACCCTGACAGAGTCTGATTAAGCCCAGCTGCCTTCAGACATTTCAATCTCATCATTGTGACACTTCTCCCGGTTCCAGAGGGTTTACTTTCTCTCTCTCTCTCTCTCTCTCTCTCTCTCTCTTTCCATCCTTCTTTGAGACCACAGAATCGTTTTCATGTGATATCCATCACCTTCAACTATGTCAACGTAAACGTGCTTTAAAGTATAGAATTGGACACACCAAGAGCTTCACATTCCGATATACTTGCATTTTGTACTGTTACTTTGCATTTTAAATCTGATATTAGTAGATACAGTTGATTGCCTTTAATAATTACAGTCACACACAGTTATAGCTCATTAAAACACAGTGATATTGGAAAATTATAAACATGTTATACAACCATTATTCATATTGCAAAAGAAAGCAATAAGGATAATTGGGGCTGGATATAGGGATCACACCAATTCATTTTTTTGTCAAAACTACTAAAATTTACAGATCTTGTAGAGGTACAAACAGCACTAAAAACATTTAATGCAAAAAACAAATTATTACCAGGCAATATTCAGAAATTATTTGTTGAAGGGGAGGGGAGTTATCATTTAAGGGGTCAGTTTAACTTTAAATCAAGGATTGTTCATACAACTCGCAAAGGGTTTTGTATTTCTCTTGTTGGAGTAAAACTGTGGAACAGTCTGAGTGTGGAACTTAAGGAATGTCCAAACATAAAAAAATTAAGGAGAGGTATAAAAATGTTATTTACAAAAGATATAGGGATGCTGAGTATGTCTGATTATTGTTATTATTATTATTATTGTTATTATTATTATTATTTTTTTTTTGCAATGTATGGAGATGTTTGGGGCTGTGTATATATGTGCGTACATGTGTGTATGTATACATTTATGTGTGTATGCATAAACACTGCATGTAGATGTACACTTAAGTTTATGAATATATCCTGGTATTATATAAAATTCTTGGTAAACAGATTTTTGTTTTAATCTTTATGATATTGTAACTTAGAATACGGAAAAAGAAGAATTTACAATTTTTTATTAAGCTTCGAAGAAGGGTGGGATTAAATAAGCTTTTTACTTCTTCCCATTCCTTTTCAAATATGTTAATTTTGTTATCACTTTTTATCATTTTTTGTTTTGTATACATGTTTGAAATAAAATAAAATAAAATAAAATAAAATAAAACTAAAAAATCTAACCAGACACTTAGTATGACAATTTTATTTTTGCAGCTTTATAAATGTGATTTTTTTTATTAGAACAATCTGCATTCTAAACTATTAGATTTCACAGCTGACTCTATCCCACAACACATTTTCTGTTATCAGCCAGAATAGTCATTGCAACTCAATGCAATGTTTTCATAATGCAGAAAGGACAACATTGTAATAAAAAGACCTTTTGTTCATGAMAGTAAATTTTAAAGCTAACTTACTTCGGTTTATTGAGAATGYGCTGTATCCAGGTAAACAAAGCCCCCTTTGTTACAATCACGCATCTTTCTTCTTCTTAGGTCATTACAATAGGCTCTTCATTGGTGGACTGTATCTGCTAAAGGTAAAAGCTGAATAATATGTGGTTTTGTGTGGCGAGTAGAGTTGAGGGAATGTGTTTTGATCACAGACAAAGGCCAAGCTACACAGCGCTGTCCTTCTGTCTCTATCTTGTTAATGAGCACTGTTCACTGAGCAAGCCAGCCACTGTCTGCCACAGAGAAGAGACCTCAGATTCATCTCTCTGCGGACAATAGGTGATTGTGTGTGTGTGTGTGTGTGTGTGTGTGTGTGTGTGTGTGTGTGTGTGTGTGTGTG